ACCCCCACCCCCGCCACCGCTGCCTGACCTAAACTCTTCCACTGACGTATTTTCTGGAATGCAAGTGTACTGTCATGGAAATGTGGTCAGATGGGTAACTTCCTCCACATATGGTGGCCTTGTCCAATTTTTGTGTCTTTTTGGAAACAGGTTCACCAAAATATTCCTTGGATTATAGGTGTAAAGTTAAATTTTCTTCCTGAGGTTTTTTTAATGGAATACCAACCCCCACCCCACCCCAGTAGGAAATAAAGAGCATGATAAGCTAATCTCTATTTTACTTTCTCCAGCAGGAAATATGGTTGCTGTCCATTGGAAAAAATCCTTTGCCACCCGAGTTGTATTTCGTCTCATTTTGTTATGGCAAAGGTTACCATTGGCACTATGCTACCATACTCCGCGAAGGCTTATAATAATTTTGTGTCACCCTGTTTCCCGCTAATGCAATTTTTGTCTGAACAAGATATCATTCCGAACAATCCAATTTACAAAGATATGATTTTCTTCTAGGTTTTGCTTGGCTACCTATGTCAATGTGAGAAGAAAAATGGTAGGCAGGTAATTTATATCTACTCAGGAAGGTGGGGTAGGGCTGAGTCATTATCTTGTAGGAGTCATTGACACAGAGAGTCCTCCATCTTTCTGCGTTATACCTCTGAGGATGCCAGTCACAGCTGCTGGCGAAACGTCAGGTCCTACAATGCCAGGACCACGGCCATACAGCCCAGAAAATCTGCAACAACTAATGAAAAAAAAAATGGCTTGTGAAGGTATTTCACTTGAGCAGTTCTGGAAAGAGCTCTCTCTGCAGTTGCAGAGGATTATTATGGGATGCCTCTGATAGAATGTAGGGTAAGGGGCTGAAACGCCCACCCCTTCAAGGGTGGAGGAGATTCTGACTTACCCCAACAGCAGATGTTTTGGGACAGGAGTGCGCTCTCTCTCTCTTCATTACTGTAGCCCTGAGGCCGTGAACCTGTGAGGTCTGAGGGGCGCATGTTCAGTGCCCAAAAGGATCCCGCTCCAGTCTGCAGGGCAGGTAGGGGTTAGGACAAAGGCTTGGCCTCTCTCTCTCTCTCTTTCTCTGTTCCTCCTAGTCTCTACGGCTCTGCCTGCCTGTCCCTGCCCAGAAGGTGTAAGCCCAGCGAACAATGTAGAATCAGCTTAAAATGGTGCAGTGGCTTTGTATGATGTAAAGGTAAAGGTAAAGGTTCCCTTGCTCGAAAGCCAGTTGAGTCCGACTCTAGGGTTGCAGTGCTCATCTCCGTTTCAAAGCCGAAGAGCCAGCGCTGTCCGAAGACGTTTCCGTGGTCCTGTGGCCGGCATGACTAAACACCAAGGCACACGGAACGCTGTTACCTTCCCACCGAAGTGGTCCCTGTTTATCTACTTGCAATTTCTTGCTTTCGAACTGCTAGGTTGGCAGGAGGAGCTCGCTCCTTCAGGCGCCCCCCGGGTGTCAAACTGCTGAACTACTGACCTTCCACAGCCTGCAGTTCAGCATCTTAACCACTCGAGCCACTGCAGCTCCACAGAAATGGCAGAAATGCAAATCTGGACAATGTTGTTTGGCAGGATAATAGGCTAACTGTTTCGGTTGGACAACATCCCTCTCCAGCATGTACTTGTGGAGTCATTCTCCTCCGGATGCCTGAGAGAATGAAACTAGGCGGTGAAGAAACAGATCAGAACAGGTTTCCAGTGGCTCTTGGAGGCTGGACACAATTCAGGTGCAGAATATTCGTGATATTCCCGATCAGATGTCTGTGCACGAGAAATCTTGACCAGTGTTCCCTCTAAGCTGAGTTAGTGTGAGCCAGCTCACAGTTTTCTAGCCTCCGGCTCACACATTTTTGCCTTAGCTCAGGGAGGAGGGCTCCAGAGCAAAGTAAGTTATGCAGTAGCTAAATCGCCCGCTCACACCTTTAATGCCGGTAGCTCACAAAGTAGATTTTTTTCCTCACAAGACTCCACAGCTTAGAGGGAGCATTGATCTTGACCGATGGGAATGAGCAGTTGGGACATTATTAATTTCCTCCCTCCTCCTGCCGGGAGTGCTCGCCCCCTGCAAAACTTTACTGCACGACGTCTCTTTGCCTTGTGCGCCTCGCCCCACTGAGATTTTATAACCACATTGCGGTTGTCACGCCAACAAATGCGCTGGGCGAAAGAGGAATGTTGTAGCCTAATGGCAGGTACCCCTCCCACTATGAGTGTGGTAAAGCAAAGAGGGAAAAGGAGGAAGGAAGTTTGCATTATTTTTATTGTGCATTGTTCACCAAACCAGACCCACAATTTTACACACACAGGGGGGGGGGGAGTTTATGAATAAGGTATGGGAAACAGCAGGGGACGGAAGACATTTTGTCCTTGGTTTAAATTTATGGAAACACATACATGACGTTAAAAGGGAGACTGACATGTCCACCCCACGTCTCTGCAAAATATCTCGTAGATCATATAAACACACACTATGGTAGCAGCAATGGGAAGAAAACCCCACACACTCTTGTGTCAGCCTCGGAAGTCCATACCAGAGGCTTTGACGAGTTCCAGTTCTTTGCCCTTCTCCTCCCCTGGAAAAGCACATGAGGTCTATTATTTATTTGTACGTCGACGTCCCCAGCCACCAGTGGGGGATGGGGGCATAGGGTTGCCAGATCCAGGTTGGGAAGCTCCTGGAGATTTGGGGATGGAGCTTGGGGAGGGCGGGGACCTCCGTGGGGTACAAGGCCATAGAGTCCACCCTTCAAAGAGTCCATTTCCTCCAGGGGGACTGATCTCTGTAGTCTGGAGACAGGGTTACCAGGTTCTCCTAGCCACCGGTCAGTGATGAAGCTGCCTTATACTGCATCAGACCATCGGTCCATCAAAGTCAGTATTGTCTACTCAGACCGGCAGCGGCTCTCCAGGGGTCTCAGGTGGAGGTCTTTCCCATCACCTCCTGCCTGGTCCTTTTTTACTGGAGATGCCGGGGATTGAACCTGGGACCTTCTGTTTGTATGAACACAGGAGGCTGCCTTCTACTGAATCAGACCTTTGGTCCATCGAGGTCAGTGTTGTCTACTCAAGACTGGCAGCAGCTCTCCAGGGTCTCAGGTGGAGGTCCTTCCCATCACCTCCTGCCTGGTCCTTTCAAGTGGAGATGCCGGGGACTGAACCTGGGGCCTTCTGCATGCCGAACGGATGCTCTACCCCTGGGAGGGGGGTAGGGTTGCCAGATCCAGGTTGGGAAACTTCTGTAGATTTGGCGATGGAACCCGGGGAGGACGGGGACCTCCGTGGGGTACAATGCCACACCGTCCACACTCCAAAGCATCTATTTTCTCCATGGGAAGGGAAGGAGATGAGCTGTAATTCCGGGGTGGGTGGGGTCCCCAGGTCCCACCTGGAGGCTGGCATCCCTACTTACAATCATAGCTAAAAACGTGTCCCGCTAAAACCAAAATAAAATAGCAAACTCCAGACCTCTCCCCCCCTCTTCCCCATGTGCAAGATGCTCACTGTTCAACCTCCCCCCTCCGAAGCCCCAGCAAACAGTCAGGCTTTGCAGAACCTTCCGGAAGATCTCCAAGGAAGGGCCCCCCTCTCACCTCTTCTGGGAGCCCCTTCCACGGGGTTGCAGCCATGATGGAAAAGGCCTTGGGGATCTGGTTGAGGCTAGACAGGCCACTCTAGGTGGTGGAAGGGGGAGGGAGATCTGGAAAGTGTTCCAGTAGATAAGTGCTCTGAATCAAGGAAAGGAAGGAAAAGGAGAAGAAATTGGATTTATACCCCACCACCCTTCACTCGGAGTCTCAGAGGGGTTTACAGTCTCCTTCCTCTCCTTACAACAGACACCCTGTGAGGTAGGTGGGGCTGGGAGAGCTCTTTCCAGAACTGTCCTTGAGGGAATAGCTCTGACAGAACTACGGCTTGCCCAAGGTCGTCCAGCAGCTGCAAGTGGAGCAGTGGGGAATCAAACCCGGTTCTCCCAGATTAGAGTCTGCTGCTCTTAAGCACTATGCCTAAGGGACAGATAGGGCAGAGCAAGTGACACATTAATTCCAACTTCTTTACACAGAGAGTGATTCAAACGTGGAATTTGCTGCCAGAGGATGTAGTGATGGCCGCAGAAATAGACAGCTTTAAAGGGTAGATTCATGGAGGAGAGGTCTATCAGAGGCTACTAGCCAAGGTGACTGAGGGGAATCTCCACATTCAGAGGCACTGAACCTCTGAATCCCAGAGCCAGGAGGCAACATCAGGGGAAGGACTTGGCTTCTGTGCCCTGTTGTTGGCCCTCCAGAGGAACTGGCTGGGCACTGTGTGAGACAGAATGCTGGACTAGATGGACCCTCACTGGTCTGATCCAGCAGGGCTGATGTTCTGATGAAGGCCTCAGCCTCTCTGCCCTGTTGTTGGCCCTCCAGAGGACCTGGTTGGCCCCTGTGTGAGACACGATGCTGGACTAGATGGGCTCTTCTGATGTTCTTTCTTTGCATACCTTTTAAATGAAGATAGACTCAGGTAGGTAGCTGTGTTGGTCTGAAGCAGCAGAATAAAGTTTGAGTCCAGGGGCACCTTTAAGACCAACAAAGTTTTATTCAAGGTATACGCTTCTGCGTGCACACACACTTCTTCACACAAAGCTTATACCTTGGACAAAACTTTGTTGGTCTTAAAGGTGCCACTGGGCTCAAACTTTGTTTTCTTTAATGAAGGTGCTGAAATAGCTGTGCTTTGAAAGGTCGAAAGTCTCAGTGCAGCCAAAGAACTGGCTTAAAACAGGAGAGGGAGAAACAACTCTGGCCTTTGCAGCTGATTTGGATGAAACATTCTCCTGTGCCCCGCCCCCACGTCCTACCTTGCCTTTTGCAATGTCCATTGACTCGTTAAAATCTCACAGTCACAGTCACAAATGACCACTGTTGCAGTGGGACGGCTATTGTGCTGCATTGAAAACATTGCCACTTTCTCTTTAGGTAGTCCCCTTATCGATGAATGGCCTTGGACGTTCATCAGAGCGCCTTCCCATATATTGCTTTGTACCGCAGGTACTCCTCCAGACACTGTATGGCGTATTCATCCACCGAGGGATCAAATTTGTTGGCTAGGAGGTGATGCTGAGAGAGCATCCAGTGGAGGTCACCCGCTCCGTAGATGCACACCGCCCGCCGGGAGACACCCGTGCAAGGGGGGTATGGAGCCCCTTTGTGGACATCCCCCTCTAAGTAAGACCACTTCACAACCCTTGCAATGGCGTTCATGTCCGTGAGGTCATATTTATCGTTGCTGGGCATGGATCCTGGCACTCCGGGCATCCGATGCAGAGTGGCCCAGAGATGTTCGTCTGGACTGTAAGTGTCCTTGTTCCACTCTAGGAACTGTTTCACCGTTGGGTCTTTGAAAAGGTGTTGAACGAACTCCCTTGTGACCACGATATAAGCATTGCCGGTGAACATGGGGGATCCATGCGGAGGGGGGCTCTTCACGGTATCGGTCCGAGACACGGAATCCTTCACTTCGTGGTGGTATTTCCAGCGTTGTGCTTTAGCGGAAGACGGTCTCTCTGATTCCATATTGTTCTGTTGGTTCAATGCTTTCAGGACGCGGACGATCTCCGCGTTGGTCTTGATGGGGAAATCGGTCCCACAGGTGTTCAGGAGGTACTTCCACTGAACTTTGCTCTTCAGGAGGTCTTCCATGCAGTTCAGGTCGGCTTGAACCCTGGACCACGAGGCATACACCACTGATTCCAGCTTAGATGCGACAAAGACATTGTCAAAGCAGGAGGCAATGCCTCGCACCGCCTCTTTGAAAGGTTTGGAGGACTTCTCGTCTACGTGGATGCAGTAGGCATTCTGAGGGGCGTAGATGGACCGCAACAACTTCTCAAACATTTCGATCTGATTGTGGATCACCATGGAATAAGCAATGGGGAAGTCTTCTTCCTCGTTGCTCAGCGGGAATTGGATGTACCTCCTGCTCTCTTTGAAGAGCCTGCAGTTCTGGGTCATGTTCAGGTAATCTCTCTCGCTCAAGGAGACCTTCTGGCTCTTCTTTTGCAGCCTCCACAGGAGCGCCTCCCGGACCATGCTGGCATCGCCTCTGGTGATCCGGGAGCAGCTGATCTCGTTCTTGGGAGAGAGTCTCAGAGACTGGTAGAGCTGATCCTTGCACAGTTGAGTCTGCGGGTCTTCAGTGTCCTTCCCCAGATCATTAAACCGGCACTCCCAGGAGGTATATTTCAAAACCACCGTGGCGCACAGCATCAGACTCCCCACTGCCAGCAGACGCAGGACATGACCGAAGACTTTCCTCTCCGAGCAATACATTTTTTTGTGGCTGGTGGAGAGAAAGCTTCGCTTCCCGCTGTTTCTTTGCTTCAGCTGCGGGGGACAAAGGTCTGCTCTGTCTGGCAAACTCGGGATGGATTCAAAGGTCGCTTTTCAGACTTCGCATCTCTTTATGAGCAATAGGTGCTTTCTGAGTACTCAGCTATATGCAAATGTAACCGGAGCTACCCTGAATTGTTAAGGGCCGTTCAGGTAGGGGAGGGGCTGGGAGTGCTGGTCTCCGGCCAGGTTTGTTCACTCCAGAGGTGTCGCAATCCTTGCAAAATTGATGGCCGGAACGATAGGATGACTGAGAAAGAGGAAGTCGCCTTTCTTGTTTTTCGGTTTATTCGTTCAGTGACCTTTTCGCAGCGACTTGAATTTCTGGCCGATCCAGCAGGTCGATCGACTGATTGATTGACTATACCACCGAGGCAAATATAATGGGAGGAAGTATATAACCTTGGGCAGATGTAGCGCCTGCGATCGGTTGCCATCACAGCAAGAGAGCATCACGTCCTAAGCTGTGGAGGCGTGTGAGCAAAAATTCTACTTTGTGAGCTGCTGGCATTAAGGTTGTGAGCTAGTGACTGGGCTGCTGCATAAGTTAGTCTGCTCTGGAGCCCTCCTTCCTGAGCTAAGACGAAAATCCGTGAGCCGAAGGCTAAAAAACTGTGAGCTAGCTCACACTAACTCAGCTTAGAGGGAACACTGGCCATCACAGCAAGAGAGCATCACGTTGCCTGCTGTTGGGAGAAGGATTCGGCAGTCTGAGCATCTCAAGTCTCTTTTTAGGGTCAGTTTGGTGTAGAGGTTAAGAGCATGGACTCTCATCTGGGAGGACCGGGTTTGATTCCCCACTCCTCCACATGCAGCTGCTGGTGTGACCTTGGGTCAGTCACAAGTTGTTTCAGATCTGTTCTCTCAGGAGCACTTCGCGAGAGAGCTCCGCCTACCTCACAGGGTGTCTGTTGTGGGGAGGGGAAGGGAAAGGAGAATGTAAGCTGCTCTGAGACTCTTTCAGGTAATGAAGGGCAGGGTATAAATCCAATCTTCTCCTCCTCCTCCTCCTCTTCTTCTTCATGAAAAAGAAGAGAAGAAGAGATTGGATTTATATCCTACCCTTCACTTGGAGTCTCAGAGCAGCTTACAGTGTCCTTTCACTTCCCCTCCCCTCCCCACCACAGACACCCTGTGAGGTAGGATGGGCTGGGGGAGCTCTTTCCAGAACTGTCCTTGAGAGAACAATCTTCTCCTCCTCCTCCTCCTCCTCTTCTTCATGAAAAAGAAGAGAAGAAGAGATTGGATTTATATCCTGCCCTTCACTTGGAGTCTCAGAGCAGCTTACACTCTTCTTTCACTTACCCTCCTCTCCCCACCACAGACACCCTCTGAGGTAGGTGGGGCTGAGGGAGCTCTTTCCAGAACTGTCCTTGAGAGAACAGCTCTGACAGAACTATGACTTGCCCAAGGTCATTCAGCGCACTTAACCGCTACACCAAACTGGCTCTCAGGTAAAAAAGGCTTCATTTGTAAACCCTAATGGGTGCAAAGATATATGTGAAAGTGGGAGTAAGAGCCAGCATGGTTTTGTGGGTAAAGTGCAGGAGTCATTTCCTGCAGTAGCGCACAGGAGCGGAGCTCCGGCAGTAAAGAGCCCAGGGGGCGGGCACATGCAACAAGCCACACCCCCTGCTCCCAGCAGCCCTCAGTCAGAGCAAGAAGCAGCCAGGTAAATTGCAGAGCTCCCCCCGGCCCCCCAGTCCAAAACAGTCCAGTGGCACCTTTAAGACCAACTTTTATTCAGGTACAAGCTCTCCCTCCTCTGTGAGGGCAGATCTGCACGTTCCCCCCCCCCCAATAGCTAGCAATCCAAAACAGTCCAGTGGAGCCTGAGCGGTGGGTGTTGCCTCCTGACACACTTCCGGTGATGTCAGGGGGTGTGGCATATGCAAATAAGTTATGCTAATGAGCTCCTGCACCTCTTTTTCTACGAAATGACCCCTGGTAAAGTGTAGCACTAGGATCTGGGAGACCCAGGTTCGAATCCCCCCTCGTGCCTTGAAAGCTCGCTGGGTGACCTTGGCCCAGTCACACACTCTCAGCCTAGCCTACCTCACAATGTTGTTGTGAGTATAAAACAGAGGAGCGGGAGAATGATGTAAGCTGCTTAGAGGTAGGTTAGGCTGAGTGAGTGGCCCGAGGTCACCCAGCAAGCTTCCACAGCACGAGTGAGGATTCGAACCTGGGTCTCCCAGATACTAGGCCAGCATATTTTAAAGTATGGATACTGAGAGGCACATCTCCAACTGTATTAATCCGGTACACTTATCTCCTTCCCCTTCCTCCAAGCAGCGCAAGGCGGTGTGTGTGGCTCTCGCTTCCTCATTTTATCCTTACGACAGCCCTGTGGGGAAGGCTAGACAGAGAGAGTCAGCAATTGGCAGAAGGTTGCCCACTGAACTTCATGGCAGAGTGAGGATTTGAACCCCGGGCCTCCCCAGTCATAGCTCTAACCACTGCACCACATTGCCTTCTTTGGCCTGATCCCATCCTTAAGCCTCTATGTTCTTCCACCCTTTGGCCTGCCTCCCTTCCTTGTTCTGTGGTTGCATTTTCTGACCTGTGGATCCCTAGAGTTGTCACCTCCAGGTTGGGATATCCTTGGAGATTTGGGGATGGAGCCTGGGGAAAGGCCTCAACAGGGCCATAATGTCATAGCGCCCACCCTCCAAAGCAGCCATTTCCTCCAGGGGAACTGATCCCTGTCTGCTGGAGAGCCTTTCCTGTTCCTTTTATACCCTTAGAAGCGCATTAATTCACAGATCTTGAGCAGCAGAGGATTTCTTCTTCCTCCTCTTCCTCCTCCTCCAGTTTGGTGTAGTGGTTAAGTGCGCGGACTTTAATCTGGGGAGAACCGGTTTTGGTTCCCCACTCCTCCACTTGCAGCTGCTGGATGACCCTGGGCAAGCCACAGTTCTGTCAGAGCTGTTCTCTCAAGGGCAGTTCTCGAGAGAGCTGTCTCAGCCCCACCTACCTCACAGGGTGTCTGTTGTGGGGAGGGGAAGGAGTTTGTAAGCTTCTCTGGGACTCCGAGTGAAGGGCAGGGTATAAATCCAATCTCCTCCTCCTCCTCCTCCTCCTCCTCTTCTCCTTCTTCATGCAAGGACTAGAATCTTCTGGAGATGAGCGGTCATTCCCAGAGATCCCCAGGCCCCACTTGGAGGTTGTCAACCCTGCGTTCCCCCTCCCCCAAATTAAGGGTGGGTTTCATGCCCTTCGTCATTCTGAGCCATGCTCTCCGTTTGCATCTGCAGCAACCAGAAAGATCTGCGGCTGTTAGAGGAACCAAAACCTTCCCATGAGCTTGCGTGTCTTCTGTGACAACCACTGAACAACCCTCCCCGCTCCTCCGTTACATCACTAAAATAATAAGCAAGCACGCTCCCCCCCCCCTTTTCAGTGAATCGCTTTGTCTGTCTGGCAGTCTTACAAATAAACTTGCTTTAAATGTCAGTGATTGATTTAAAAAACGCTTTCGGGCTGGCCCTTCGCCTTCTTCACAGGCCCTTGTGCCATCCAGTTCTGTCTGGCTTTGGGCTTTTGTTCTCGTGTATTCCTTTGGTCTGTTTCCTGGAGCCGTTCAAGGACTCTCAATCCTGTGTTTAAACATTGCTCGGGGCATTGTGGCTCTCGTAAGGGCTTGGTTCCTACCCAAAGTATACACTGGAGTGAAATAAAGACACGTTCTTGGCACAAGGATCTGATTAGAACCATGGCAGGACACCAGTTTGTTGAACGGAACGGAATCTCATCCTGCGGTGGAAAGTGCTGTTAAGTCGCAGGGTTTTCAGAGCAAGAGAGGAACGCAGGTGGTTTTGCCACTGCCTGCCTCTGCGTAGCAACCCTGGACTTCCTTGGTGGTCTCCCATCCAAGTACCAACCCTGCTTAGCTTCTGAGGTCTGACAATATCAGCTAGTCTGGGAGATCCAGGTCAAGGCAAGAGACATTCAGAGGCGGTTTGCTGTTGCCTGCCTCTGCATAGCAACCCTGGACTTCCTTGGTGGTCTCCCCTCCACGTACCAACCAGGGCCAACCCAGCTTAGCTTCCAAAATCTGACAAGAACAGGCTAGCCTGGGCTATTCAGGTCAGGGCAATATCATGCATCATGCAGGAGATGGCCTGAGTGCAAGACTAGCTGTAGCACAAACCAAAGTATTTTCCAAGTAGCTAGGAATCAGGCGTGCTTTCTTCTGGAAACTTCTCTGCACCGTGAGCCGGTGATCCCATCATTCTGAAGAGAGACTCATATTTTCAAGGACTATTAGGTCACTGTTCAACTAGTGCAGATGTCATTTATGGTGGCAGAACCATTTGTAATGTGTGTCGTTTATGGTTTGTAAGTAGAACTGCGGTGGCTCGAGTGGTTAAGACGCTGAAGCTGCAGGCCGGAAGGTCGGTAGTTCGGCAGTTCAAGACTCGTGTGACGGAGTGAGCTCCTATCTCTGGCCCCAGCTCCTGCCAACCTAGCAGTTCGAAAGCAAGAAACCGCCTTTCCCCATATATACCCCAGACAGCACTGAGATCGGGCTCCTCACTGGTGAAATGAGCTCCTGGAGGAGCTCAGGGCCCTGCGGGACCTTTTGCAGTTCCGCAGGGCCTGCAAGACAGAGCTCTTCCGCCAGGCTTTCAACTAGGAGCCGCCCCTCCACTATTACCATCAACGAGCCCGGCCCTCGGTTTTTAACATCTGCTCATTTCCATCGAGTGACGCGGGACGACAGAGAGCTGGAACTTAGCAGTTGTCTAGATACCTGAATGCGCCATTGTAAGTAATGAATTATACAATCAACTAGCACTTTAGGATGTTGTACGAGTTTATATTTTTATTAAGTACTGTACTGTTGTATATTGTTTTATTGTTTTATTGGCAATTGGTGCCATAGTTGTAAGCCGCCCTGAGCCCATGTGAGGAAGGTGGGGTAGAAATCGCATGAA